TTCGTATTGATTTGTACCATAGTTCTTTCTGTATAATTTATACAATTTCATTTCGACTTACAGATGTACTCGTGTTCACGGTTGCCACAAATGAGACCGATGGGTACAGAAGGTACCTCAGATCAGTCAACGTATACGGATTCCGGGATAACTTGAACGTCCTCGGTATGGGGAAACCTTGGCTGGGTGGCAACGTCAAGCTTTACGTGGGTGGAGGATACAAAGTGAACCTCTTGAAAAAGGCTTTGGAGCCTTACAAGGATGACGATCAGAGAATCGTGTTGTTTACAGACAGGTTTTTATTGCTTATAATTGAATAATAAAGAATTTGCAATAGCAGGATTTCTATTCCTAAATCTATGTTTTAGCTACGACGTGATATACCTGGCCGGGTTGCCCGAGATCATCCAGAAGTTCAAGAGCATGAACGCGAGAGTTCTGTTCGCCGCGGAGGGATCCTGTTGGCCGGATAAATCTTTGGCTTCCAAATATCCTCCAGCGAATGGTGCCAAGCGTTACCTGAATTCCGGCGGGTTCATTGGCTACGCGTCAGACATCTACGCGTTATTAACGCACACTCCTATAAAAGACAAGGAGGACGATCAACTGTTTTACACTTTGTTGTACCTCGACGAAACAATGAGGGACCGTCATAAGATCAAATTGGATCACAAGTCGGATATATTCCAGAATCTATACGGCGCCGTGGCCGACGTGGAACTGAAATTCGAGAGTGGAAAGGCTTCTCTGGTGAATACTGTTTATAAAACTGAACCATTGATACTTCACGGAAACGGTCACAGCAAGTTGGCGTTGAATTCTTTGGGTAATTACTTGGCCAACGCGTGGAGCCCAGAAGAGGGTTGTATAACTTGCTGGGAAGGAACGATCGAATTGGATAAAACGCTACCGGAAGCCTATCCGATTATATTAATCGCTGTCTTCATCGAACGACCGACTCCATTCTTGAACGAATTCTTGACCAAGATATATGATCAAGCATATCCAAAATCCAGGCTACATTTATTTATTCATAACAACGTGGAGCATCATCAAAAGACGGTTGACGAATTCTTAGAAACAGTCGGCATGAAGTATAATAGCAGCAAGCAGATCTCAGCGAGCGATGGTATAAGCGAAGTCGACGCGAGAAACTTGGCAATGTATGTATTAAAGCTTTCGTGTAATTACTAGACTAGATTTTCGCAATTAATGTATTCGAAATGAGTGACACAACAGTTGCGTCATTTAACCCTTTGAGTTCTAGCG